TTTCACTCTCTTTCAATCTCTCTTTCTCTCTCTCTCTCTCTCTCTCTCTCTCTCTTTCGTTTCTGTGTCTCTCTCTCTCTCTCTCTCTCTCTTTCGTTTCTGTCTCTCTCTCTCTCTCTCTCTCTCTCTCTCTCTCTCTCTCTTTCCCCCTTTTTCTCTTTGCCTATCTCTTTCTCTTTCAAGCAAACGGCAGCTGATTTACGATTCCATTAACGTGCGTTACGAGCATCGAATAGGGTAGACAAAATCAAATAGGATTATAAACGGATAAAAAGGTCAACGTTTTAGATCTTCTAACGAAACCAGCATACGCGTGCCCACCTAAGATATTGAGAGTCCTAAAGTCTAAGAGAAAATTGTCGTCACGACGGGATACAAAAGCCAGCCAACCAAACCAACCAACCAATCGCATTATCCTCGAGTAGGCGCCTGTTTTAGGAAATCGTAAACGATTTCTCTCGATTTTTTCTCCTTCCTTGCCCCCTCCTTTTCTCATTCCCTTTCAATAGAAAGGGAAAGAGGAAGAGATAGAATGTTAGAGAAAGATTGTAGTTCGTTCTATCGCTGCCGTTTTTCGTTCCGTTCGACTGCTTGAAAAATGCACGGCTCGTCGCTCGTCCCTCTCGACGTTCTTGGCCGTTTCTCGGTCGACGTGAAAAATCGACGCGCGAGAATTCTGACGTCTTGCGATTTGTCAAGCCTTCTCTCTTTCTCTCTCTCTCTTTCTCTCTCTCTCTCTCTTTCTTTCTCTCTATATCTGTCTCTTTATCTCTATCTCTTTTTTTCTCATACATATAGATACGTACGTGTCCCACGTATTATATACACATATATATATATATATATATATATATATATATATATATATATACACACTGAAATGTATGAAGGAAAGGGACAAGACAGTACGACTTTTGATTCCCTCTTTTTTTTTGTTTCTCTCTCTCTCTCTCTCTCTTTTTCTTTTTTTTTGTCTCTCTGTAGCGACGTATCAATATCATCAACATACGTATAAAGACGAGAATTCATGAGAAGATAAAAGGGACGTCGTACGCTTATACATTTATACATATATACATACATACGCATGTACATACATACATACATACATATATATATATATATATATATATATATATGTATGTATACATACATGCATACACCGGGGAGTTTTGGGTTTCAAAATGATTGGGGTGAAATTGGGGTAAGCCGATACCGTCGTAGTACCCTTCGCCGTCGTTTTCTTCAACGGCGAATCCGAACTACGAGACGAGACTTCTCTACCGTCAATTTGGACGTTTCTCTTTCCACGGACATGTCATCCGTAGAAGAAAAGAATTTAGAAATCGTACTTTTCGAAACTTATCAGAAGATATTCTCTTTCTATCATTCATTCTCTTCGAACGAATAAGATGAAGAAAATAGTATCGTAGGAGAATAAAACGATAACGTTTCTCTTGTCGTTGGTAGTCAGTATAACTGGGTTCGTGTTTCACCTGGAAACGAATCGATCGATCGATTCGAACTCGTCAGACGAATCCCCTCTGCTTACCTTCTTTTAACCATACTCTTTCTCTCTCTCTTTCTATCCATCAAGAGAATTCTTCTTCCATTTCTCGATAAAATGAAGATGGACAGCGTCCACGTGTCGAAACGTCGTTGCCATCCAATTCCCAACTTCCAATTTGTTTCACCACTCGTTTTCGTTCTATAGATCGTTTGAAAAAGAATACAAGGAGAGGAATTGTTAGACATAGTAGTAATAGTAGGTATCTATTCTATAAAGCGCATACACACACACACACACACACACTATATATATATATTTAAACACGTATAAATGTATAACACATACATACATGCATACGTGGCACCCTCTAGTACGAAAACCCCTTTGATGCTTCGTTCCGCGGATTGACGAGCGTCAATTAGCCATACCCGAATCGTCTCGGTCAAGACAAGAGAATCATGCTCGGAACACGTTCTCTGTGGTGAACTCGTCTCACGGTGCTTAGAATCGCACGAGCTTTAGCCTTCCTAGTGGTCAATGTCATCGTCATCGTGGCTGCTTATCGCGTTGTACTACGCCGATCATCGCAGATTCTCGTTGTCTTTGTGTGTTCATCGTGGTCGATCGACATTGTTCAAAGATAGAGATAGATGGATAGATAGAGAGAAGGAGAAGAGAGAGAGAGAGAGAGAGAGAGAGAGAGAGAGAGAGAGAGAAAGGAACTGTTGTTTGACCGGTCACCACCGTTTCAACCTTCCTCTATTCTGTGGGAATTGACCAGTGGTCAGTTAAGTTTGCCTCTTGATCCGACATTGACGAGCGTGTTAAACAAGAATATACGAATCTTTTCTAGTTTATCTTTTGTTCTCTTTCGATCTTGTTTCTTCTTTTCAATGTATCGTCGACACGTGATTCAGACATTTATAGAAAATGTGGATTTTATGCTCGAAAAGACACGCCTATATATGTATATATATATATATATATATA